CTAACCACTCTGCTAGAGTTTCCACATCTGTAAAACGGGAATAGGGATAACAATTATGGTACTTACTTCACTACTTGAGTTGTAGTGAAGACTAAGCAAACCAAAATATATATAAATCTCTTAGGCCAATTCCTTACACAAAATAAGCACTACATGTATTTTCATTGTTCATGTGAATTCTGTTCTTATTTTTTTAGTTGCAGTGACACTGATTTACAATCCTGCCTATGATTTAGGGGACTAGGTTCACTCTTCTTCAGATGGACCTTACCACACCACACCCACCTCCAAGGTACCCACAATCTTTCACCATAGGCCATGAATACTAGTCTTTCTTAAATAAAATCCTGCTCCTTTAAAATAGCTCCCAGGCCCTCCGTACTTTTTTCCTTGCTACCTTTACTACGTCAGTTTACTACCACACACCAGCTCTTGTCACACGGCATCATTCATCCATAATTTCCTGCCTCCTGGCCTTTGCTCACCCTTTGTTTCCTGAGATGCCCTCACCCTCTTTGGTGGCTATGAAATTCTGTGAATTCTTCAAGACCAGCTCATAGAAAAACTTACTCTTGACCCTTTACTGGTGCCTTAGCTTGGAATTAGTTCCTCTCTCCTAAGCACCGCATTTCCCCTGCACTTTTTACACTTAACAATCATGCCTAACATCGTGGAGACATCTGTGGCCTCCTTCTTTCTCCGGCCTTCTCTACAACACCCTATTGTCTAAAAAACTGTGAGTTCTCAAGACTGGGTTCTTGTCTTGTTCATGTTTTAAACACTCCCAGCATTTTAAATTTATATTTTATGACACTGAACTTAGAAAACTGTCTGGTGTAAAGGAAATTTTGCTAAAGCTTGTTGAACAGAATTATTAAATGTGTATAGACACTCTCATATCTATTCCAAGCTGAAATAGACACTTGATAATTATCTGGTGGCTATAAATAGGGTGTGAAATTGGACACCCAGGACAAAATTGTCTCTCTAAGATCCAAGTGGTCTGACCCAGTGTCATCACTGAAACTAGTGCTACAAATATAAGATTCCATTGTTCTTTATGTGTCTGTTCAGACCTTTTCAGTTGCAAGTAATATAAAATCTGAATCAAACAGATTTAGACAATAGAGAAAGCTTGGTGCTACCTGACAATGAAGTACAAAGATTCACCAAGGCTTGCTCCAGTAGCTTAATAGTATCATTGAAGGCCCAGTTCCATTCTATCCCTCTAATCTGTCTTCTGTATTGAATCCTAAAGTGGCACTGACCCCTAAGACAGCCTGTCATTGTGGACATGAGCTAGCTGCCAGCAGCTTCTGGAGAAAATGTGCTCATGTCCACTGGCAGGTCCACCACATGCATTCGAGCACTCATGGCACTGACTCAAACTTAGTGCCAACAGCGCCCCCTGGATTTGTGCAAGGCAATGATTCTGACCATCAGAGAGACTCTCTCTGGGTGACTTCCATGGAGAGGAAACTTCTTCAACAACAGCCTTCAGGAACCATCTTGTGACACTTATAGATCCCATCTTCTCTGCCAATCAGGGTCATCAAGTGGGACTATTTGGATGGATCATACCAGGCTCCATGTGAGAGACTCAAAGATGACCAGTGACTCAGGTGATAAAGAACAGGGAAGGGAGAGTTTGTTCCATCCAGCCAAATACATATATTATATAGGTATATACACTTGCATCTGTTGTTTACTATATCCATACATAGTAACAAGGCTGTAATTTTCATTTACTGAATCAATAACTGTCACAGTCTCTGATTTCAAAAATGCTTACAGTGCTTTCTCTTTTCCTCTTCAATATCAACTCAAAGCGGTTGAACCCTCTCATATCCTTGATTCAATCTCTTCAGAATCTCTTTCCAGTGTGCACATTTGTTCCTGAGACAACAACAATAGATCATATTTAACCATCGACATGTGTTTAGAGACTGTGGTTCTGTAAGGAAGTTGTGCTTGTGGCCAAGTCGCATCTTTCTAATGCTGGACATAGAGAAGTAATTTCTCTGGCTGACCAGAAAGCACCTTCAACCCTCTGAGAGGCTCTGGAGAGATGGGAAGGTGTTCACAAGGAAATGCCCTCAGGGATATTTCAGCCCTTCTACCCACGTCCTACTCACCCAGGAAGAAAAAATCAGGCCTCTTTTTAAATGAATGGTGTATTTACATTGAATCCCAGACATTTTGAGACTAAATTAAAAGTCATTTTCCCATGTGTAATGCTATTTCTGACCTCCAACAAAGTCCATATTTCCAGTTTTATTGGTGTTAGATCTATCAGATGAGACTGAGGAGACCCGAAGTCTGGGCTCTGTCATTTATTAGTTATCTTACTCTGTACAAGTCACTTCACCTCTTTAGGCTTCAACTTCATTAATCAAGAACAGGGTGCCTGGTATGTGCCAGATTCTGAGCTAGGTGCCCAGGATGTAACCAGGAAGACAACTTCCTCACTTTCAAAGTGAATGGGAGACCTCGATCAGGTCAACCTCTTTCTTGCTCTAAAGACTGCCTGCTTTGGAGATAGAGACTAAGGCCTGCAGGAGTTCCTCAGCAATGGATTGTGATGAGCATGGAGCTCATCCACACCTGCCATAACCAACTCTCATCTTCCTCTCAGTACTAGGACTGCATGATTGAGGTATAAACTGCATTCTCCCAGGGCCTGCAGACCTCTGATGTTCAGTAATTAATCATTTAGTTTATAGATTAGTATGTTATAAATATCCTATCCAAAATAAGTCATATATTCTCCTTTCCTTAAAGTATATCCCAGAAGAACAGGTGTATTCTATCTCCTTTCATATAAACATGAGAGTTGGCCCTGCAAGTTCATTATAAAAAAGAATCCTTTGGTGGGTGGTAAAATTCCTTTTGGATTCTCTGGCTGTTCATGGAGTTGTTCACAGAGTGATCAGTGATCATTTGGGCAGCAAGGAGAAATTAATCACATTGTCTGCTGCTATAAACTGACCAAAGATAATGGTGCCTGTGACTGTGAGGCACAGGGGAAGAAGGAATAGGATTGGAATTGGAGGAACTAGATTTGTTTAATTCTTAGCTTAGCTGATTTACTGGAAAGCTCTCAGGTACATCTTGAAGATCTCTGAGTCTCAATTCTCTAATCTGAAAAATGGGTATATATACTGCTCAACGTTGTTACCAAGATCACAAGAGACCCTGTGTGTGAAATTTACTGAACAGGTGTTAATAGTCACAGTCTGTATTTCAGGATTTTAAACACTTAAAAGGAAGATAAATCCCTTCCAGAGGACTACTCATTGGTTGGAATCATAGAGATTTAAATCTGGATAGAATCATGACAACCATCCCGCTTGCTTATGTCATAGAAAAGCTATGTCATAGAAATCGAAGACTAGAAATACCAAATGACTCACCCAAGAGAACAGTATTGGACACCATTAAAATAAACAAAAAACTACAACTGAATTTTTTTTTTAAGATTTATTTATTTTTATTTATTTATTTATTTATTTATTTATTTATTTATACAAGCACTGGGTACAGTCAGAAGCGTGGAAGGGTGAGAGAATTCACCAGAGCCAGAGCGGGGAGCAGAGCAGGCAGAAGGACCGAGGTACACTGCTGAGGGGAGCAGCGGGCAGCAGGAGAAGTCTGTGTGCCATGCAGGACCCTCCTCCAGTGGCCAGGGAGCAGCCAGGGATCGAACCAGCGCTGCAGAGGCTGCAGGCAGCTTCGCAACCTAGCACTCAACCGCTGCGCCACCAGGGAGGCCCTGAATTATTTTTTTTTTAATAGGAGACTATCACCTCACATAAAAAGAAGTGTAGAGTGGACTTGTTCAAAGTCAAGATTGTTAAGACTCAGACCTTCCCCTCATGTTGATGAAACAGTTGCCACAATCCCCAGTATCATATCTTCACATGATAATATTCAGAGGCAGGAAAGTGTGTGTGTGTGTGTGTGTGTGTGTGTGTGTGTGTGTGTGTTTGTGTATGTGTGTTGGGGAAGGTAGGAAAGGACACTCTCCTTATACATCTTTTTCCCTAAGAGTGTAACTTTCCCAGAGGCCTCTCAGGAGATGCCCTCAGGTCCCTTTAACCAGAGCTAAGTTACATGCCCACCTCTAAACTAATCACTAACCAAAAAATGAACAGGATTGCCAACATTCTGTTAGATGATTCAAGACATTTGCCCTGGGACCACTTTCCCTGAGCATGTTGCTAACCATGCCTAACTAAAATCAGAGTTTCTATTACTAGTGAGAAATGAGTAATAGTTATTGAGTAGGCAGCCAGCAGGGTCTGCCGTCCTGCCAAATAGTCACATTCTTCCTAGGATTTGTTAGAGGCAGTAGCATGTTTGTTAACAAGTTGCTCTTGTCACATAAAGAAGTGACTCCATGATACCCACGATGTAGTTGCTTCTATAAATAGGCGAATTTCTTCAAGAGTTGTGATCTTTTATAATATACATGAATATTTCATTCTCCAAATATTAGGAAATGCTAAGTTAAACTCTAATAAATTAGTTTCTAAATAAGAAAGTTAGCTAAAGTATTTATTCATTATTTCCAAACATTTTTTTTCGATTCCTACTATCAACCAGGAACTATTTTTGGTGCAGTTTAAACATGGTACTAGGATAAATGGCCAACTATTTGGAAAAGCAAAGTAAATAAGTGCCTAATCTATTAAAGAATTAGATAGTTTAAAAACAATATATATAGAAACAAGATTAGTAAGACATAATAGAAATAAGGCAAAAAAATCAAAAAGGAAAATATTAAATTGCAGAGTTTTAAAATTTTTACACATACAAAAACTAATATGTTAAAAAATAAAAGAACAAAATGGAGAAAATAATTGTAATATATTTGAGAGGACTTGATCCTTTCATATATAAAAAGCTTTATGAATCAATAAGAAAAAGAGGAAAACCTAAAAATGGTCAAAAGACCCAAGTTAATAAGTCATAAAATGAGAAATATAAAGGCTCAATAAACAAATTTAAAATGTTTCCTTACTAGTAGAGTGCATATTTAAGCAATACAATACCATTTTAATATATAAAGGTGACAAATAACATTAATAAGTATTGGTATGAGTGTGTGAGGAATGGATAATGGGTGGTTGTGCAAAGGCAGTGTGGAGAAAATGCCTCTTGTTGGCTGCACCAGTGGGCATCCCCGGACTCCAGTCAATGAGAAGCTCTAGGGAGTGAGTGCCCACTTCACAACACCTAGATGTTTCTCCAGGCTGAGGGATGGGTCGGTGGGTTCTCAACTCAAAGACAAGGGGGCTCAACACAAGTCAGAGCCCCAAGCACCACACAAAGGACTTCTACTCCAGAGACGGCCTGCAAACTCCACATGAGGGCTGTGGCATAAAGGAGAGTGTGGCCAGCCTGGACGGAGACCCTGTCAGGGGAGAAGCAAAAATCAGGAAGTTTCTTTGACCCTCAATACCTGAGAAAGATATTAGTGCACTGCTCCCACAATATTCACAAAATTCAAAATAAAAACCAAAACAAAACAATAAAGGAAACTCAACAAACTCTAAATTTTTTCCCATCAGCATGACTTCATGTTATTTTCAAACCTCAAACAGCAATTGCCTTTCAACTGCATTTTGTCTGCACTGGGGCACAGGCTTTTAATCATCACTGAGGTCTCATTCTGCTACATCCTTGCCTTCAATTAAAGTTCCCTTTGTGCTAAATCATGGTTCATGTGTTTATGTGGGATGGAGGGAAATTTCCTGCCTCAGTTTAGACTCAGGTGTCAATATGATAAATATCTGGATAACACGGTAGATGTGAGACAGATTCTTACACACACACACACACACACACACACACACACACACACACACACACAGTCTCTCTCCTCTCCTCCCCCTCCCCCACAATGGCTCTAGAGACCTAGAACATAAAATAGGAACAGAGAATGGCAAGAGAACGTGAAGAAATTTTTGGAGAAAACAGTATTTTGAACTCTTCCACTCACTCTCTGCTATGGTGGGGGTGTTGGGAAGCACCTAATGAGGATTCTTTTTTTTTTTTTAATTTTATGTATCTTTTTACATCATTTTTCATTTTTGCACAATGTGTGTATTTTCATCTTGGTTATAGTCCCCATACAATTCCCACCCCCCTTATTTTGACCGTTATCCCTCCCCCCCATAACGTGTCTCTGGTTTATAGTTGCTTGTTGATTTTGAATTTTACTTTATTATAATTAGTCTTTTTCCTGGTCCCTTATTTAAGTTTTCTAGATTCCTGCTATGAGGGAGACCATCCGGTATTTTTCTTTTTCTTTCTGGCTTATTTCGCTGAGCATGATCCCTTCTAGCTCCATCCATGTTGCTGCAAATTGCATGAGTTTATCTTTTTTGAATGCTGAGTAATATTCCATTGTGTATATGTGCACATATAGTCATCTATTTGATCTATTTGATCTAGTCATCTATTTTTGGGCATTTCTGTTGATTCCAAATCTTAGCTATTTGTGAATAGTGTTGCTGTAAACATGTGAATAGTGTTGCTGTGAAAAGTGTTGCAGGACTCTTTCTGAGGTGATGTCTAAGGAGAGTTGACACTGTCCCTGCAGTGGAAGGTCTGAATTACCAGGGCTGTGGCAGAGTCCTGGGGGAAGCAGGAGGCCTCAGAGAAGAAGGCTGAAGGTGGATGGCCACTACCTGGACTGAAAGAGGTAGCACAGAGGAGCCCCACAGCAAACCACAGATTCCTTTGACACAGAAAAGAACCCTCTGCCAGGTTTCTAATCCTAATCTGATTAGGAACTACCAGCCCCCTATCCCTTATCCCTACCCAACCACTCTGGAAGTGGAAAAGAAACACATTGGTAAGCAAGGAAGGAGGAAGACAGCTTTGAGGGGAGGTGGGGTTAGGCATCAAAGGTGGAGGGAAAGACTTGCTGCCAGTCGGGTGTAGAGTATTCACCACCTCCAGTGTAGACAGTTTCTTACTCAAAACTACACGAGGTAAAGGGACTCAAGCTGTCACGTTCCTGGAAATGAGTATGAAAGCCACAGACTTGCCTGATTTGTTATCTGGGTTAAGAGAATTTGATCCTCATGACCCTCAAATAAAGTCAAAAGGTACCAAGGAAAGCAAAAATAAAATTGGGTCTTGAAAGTATATTTCACGAGTTAGATTTATTCAATACACTGATCTCACTAATGATTATCAAACACCAAACACGGTTTGTTTGTTTGTTTGTTGCCAGGTACTATTCTCAGAGAGGTGAGGTGACTGAATTGAAGTTTGAGGCCAGTGGACTGGCTCCACTCCAAATGTCTTTGCCTTTATACCAAAACGTCCTGATCTGGAGCACCTGCAGCCTCTTGTATTTAGAAAGATTCCCACCCAAGAAGGCTTGGAGCAGAGGCCTGTTGATGATTCGCTCTGCACTCTGCATTGAATGGCCGAGAACAGCTTTGCCATCCAGGTATAGAGACAGCAATGCAGCACTCCTGGGAGGTCATCTGATTTGAATTGCATGTCAGGCAGCAAGCCGGGGGCAGATAGACAAATGTGGGAACACTCACACTCACTGGCCCTGGCCAGGTGGCAAGGAGCCACACAGCCCCACACCCCTGGTGGTGGATAAAGCAAGAAAGTAGGAACCAAACTTGGCCCCATTGACAACCTGCTGGAATAGACTATACAAACCATGAACTTCCATCGTGGAAAGATAACTACCCAGCAGGGTGTCTAAGTCAGCAGACCAGAAAGAAAAAGGATAGAGAGAATTTAGAATTTGACAAAAAGATGTGTCTGAAAACCAACATTAAACTTGCGGTGATCACCAGGGTCTTTCGGTAATCAGGGTCAGTGTTTGAAACAGAAAAACCTCGTTTTCATCAATATTTAACCTAATGTGTCAGGAAACTGGATAAGTGACTTCTTTTTTTTTTTTTTTTATAAAGTCTCAATAAATCAGGTTCAAACCGACTAGTAAATTTCCAGGCAATCTACCTGTCACTCCCCAGCCCCCTCCACCTCGGGAAACCACATAAACATATCAACAGAAGCAGGTTCCTCTCAAGGACAGGCTGCTGCATTCTTCAGATTACTAAATCTTCATGAAAAGCCACCATTGTCCTGGCAAGGCATTCAAGCCACCCAGATCGACTAGTCTCCTACAGAATCGGGTTCAGACAGCAGGGGCTCCCTGCCCTGCTCTGGGAGGTAATGGCACCAGTGGATGGGGGCAGGGGTGGGGTGGGGGGAAGGTCACTCATTTATCTTAGTGGGGTGCTAACTTTGAAGCACATGGAAGGCTACTTAAATGTTAACATTTCGAAGGGGAAAGCACAAACACCCAGCTTTCAAGCCATCAAATTTTTCTTTTAAGAGATAACCACTTCTGACTCAGAAGACAAATATTAAAAATAAAAATACCCAATCCAAACAAAAACCAGACCCGCTCTCCACCATGCATACGATCTTGGTGGTCTCCAGGTGAAAGAAAAGTTGCGTGTGTGTGTGTGTGTGTGTGTGTGTGTGTGTGTGTGTGTGTGTGTAAGTACAGCATAGCACAGATATTTTTTCAAAGTTTCTCTTTCCCACCTTTCAAAGGTTAGCTAAGTTATACAAATTCATCTGACCCAAGCAAATCCCATTTATAAGTGATGAAACATCGTCTTATGAAAGATAAACAGAGAGATTTCATTAGCAAGAAGCAAAAAAAAAAAAAAAAAAAAAAAATAAAACCCTGGATTCAGTAAAGGAAAAATTATCTTAAAAAATTTAAACAATGAGGCTTAAAGTCAAGGCACTATTGCATGTCTTAGCAGTTAAGAGTTCCTGGCCTTGCTCCTCTCTCGCTCCACAGCCCCACAAATGCAAGAGAATGTTGCAAAGAAAGAACAAAATTGATATTCTTTCTTTGCATTCAAAGCTAAGATTTTAGTTGTTTAAGCTGCGTATAAGCTTAAAACAGGAAGTTCCAAGGCCAGGATTTCGGATTTTGACTTTTCCTCCTGCCAAGATCTCTTCATTAGAAACCACTTCTATCTCCCATTAACGGCCTTCAGTAGGGGAAGGTGACTCACCCACAGGGATGGGTGCTGCTCCAGCCAGCTTCCAGAGGTAATACTTTCGCCCTGGAGGAAAGCTGCAAAAAAAAAAAAAAAAAAAAAAAAAATCAGCCTCAGCTTTCTGGCTCTACCAGGACAAAGAGAAGAAAGTAGGACTAGGATGTCATGCTAATTCCTCTTCCACAAGAAAATCTTCCCCAAAGACTTAGATTGGCATAAAGGCTTAGAAATTGTACAAAATGAAGCAAGTTTTCTATTATAAGCAGGTTTATTAGCCTAATGAAGCATCTTGGGGGTGGGGGTGGGCGTGGGGAATCCCCACAGAGGGTGGGCGACCATGTCAAGAGGGATTTTGAGGTGTAAAGAGTTGCTTTCTTATTTGGTAGGTTAGCAGCCTCCCACATACAGAATCTCTGGTTCTAGTCCTGACTGCCCGGAGTGTAGAAAAAGCAAAACAGAAAGATTGTCTTTTGCCTTTCTCTCTTAATTCACACCCTTGCCCAGACAAAATCTTGCCTTTACTGTATGCCTTTGCCTCCTAAACCCACTTGAGGAAGAAAAATTCCAGACAAACAAATAAAAACCACCCAGTCTTGTGTCTGGTTTGATATAATTTTCAAATGCTTGAAGCACAAATAACAGCATCCACAATGGTTTCAAATCTGCCTGCCTGCCTTCTCTCTCATCCTTCCTACCTGAAGTCTCTCTTGCTTCTTTTCCTTCCATGTCCTTTTCGCTATTTATTTCAGCCAGTGGAATGAACTTTGCATTGGAAATTTGGGGCAAGGTGTGAGTTATTTAGATTAACCTTGGCAGAGATAGCAAAGATTAATTTATGGAAAATAGAAGTTGGCAGAAGACATAGCAGTAGATGTTTCCCCAGGAACAGGATTAACAAAGAAAAAACAAAAGGAAAAGATGTTACATCCGGCATATTTCAAGGACATAAGAAAACACATGGGCTGTATAAAATAAGAGTAAGCTCCAAGTTGGCTCAATTCATGAAGAATTAAGGAGGCAGCAATATAAATGTGAAAGACAATATAAAAACAGCAATGAATTTCTTTATTCTGCACCCTGTAAACCAACATACACACACACACACACACACACACACACACACACATTCGATGGAGGCTAAGAGTAGAAAATTTAGGATGGAGGTGTCACAAGACCAGAAACTGGAGGTGGAGAAAAATGCTGAACTTAGTTAGTCATTAATCCAGCTCCAAAAATGAAAACTCCTCAGTCGCCAACTGCTGTAGCAAGTGTCAGACTCTATAGAAAGTATCACGAGGCGCAGACCAGAAATAAGGGTAAGGAGATGGGGGGCCATTATAGAGAATCACCTTACAAAAATTCCAAAATCCATCTACAACAAGACCCCAGCCTGCTTTTCTGGTTTCATCCCTCCATAGTCTTCCATTCTTTGGACAAACTGGAAAGTTTTAACAGCTCTACACTTTTGATCAATTCCTGCTATCCCCTGTATGTTTCTCAAAATTCTGTCATCTTTCCAGGCTCTTCTCAAATGCATTCTCTTCCATGAAGTCACAATGGCCCATCTTTCTTCCCTCAGACTCCATGGTAGGTGTTGGTCATGCAGGGCAAACTCATCGCCACTCTGCCTTGGGTAGTTTACTTATATAGTTGTCTACCCCAGAAACTCCCCAGGGAGACTTATTTTTAGCCTTGTGTTCTTAGAGGGCTGGTAAAGTGCCTTCCATAATATAGGAACTGAATAAATATTTGTGAAAAAGGAGAGTAAAGCAACCAGCTGGCTCTGGCACTTCAGTTTTCCACTCTGCTCTTAATTACTGGGTGCTCCAGCAGGTCCTTCCACCTCTCTCTGCTTCTTGTCCTCTTACTTGAAAAAGGAGAATTTGAACTTAAATGTCTCTAAGTTAATAGTCTAACTCAAATGCAATCTAATTTCTTCTGCTAGCTGAATAAATTTGGAGAAATACTGACAGGTTTGTTTGGCCACATCCAAAGGAAAACCTCCCCAACAAGGTATTTCCAGGAACTTCCGGTCATAGCATTGTCACCATCAGGACTGACTGCATAAAATCATATTTAATGGGGAAAGGTCTGGGGAGCAAGGTTGTGATCCCAGGGCTGTCTGGGATCCCAGGCCTGTCTGACCACTCCCCCCCCAACATTTTTATGTGCAGATATTTAAATGGCATGTTGTTTCCCCAAGACTTAAAATTAATTCCACAGAGTTCTCCTTTCAAAACCTTATTGGGTCTGGTGAGAAATGATGACGGGATCAAGGTCTGCCATTATTTACTTTTTAATTTAATTTCCTGAGTCAGTCTTACCTCTCCCTACTCACAGGATCCCAGGGTAAGTGGTGACCCCTATTTTGAAGGAGGCATTTACTTATTAATTTATTTATTTATCCATCCGTTCACTCTTTCATTTATTTTAGGCAGCTCCTATTGCAAAGACCATTCTCTAGCTCTGCCATTTTGCTAACTAAAGGGAACATGTTTGTGCTTTATCCTTGTGATAAACTGTCATACATCAACTGAGAGAGTAAAGGGTATTTTTGACTCCTGGAGATGATATTGAATATTGTGGTTCACTAATGAGTTTGTAGGATAAATAATACTAAATATATATATGCACATATATGTGCATTTTAATATATAATGTTAACCCTACAACATTCATCTAAAAGAACAGGAAGGAACTATAAAAAGTAAGACTCTCTGGGAAAGCACCACTTTATTGCTGGTCAACACTATTACTAGCTGATATTTTGCAAACTACTTCATTTTTAAACCCAGTGTCATTTAATATGGGTGACATCATTGTGAAACAAGCAGAGATGGTGTTATTATTCTTATCCCCATTGAACAGATGGGAGAACTGTCTTCCAAGCTAGTCAAATGGCACACTGGGGACAGTCAGAGTCTCCAGCTAAAAGACCTGGGTCCTGGTACCATCATCTTGCCACCATATTGTCTGCCCCGGAAAAGCACCTGGAAAACATTAATTCCAATGCCTGCCTTTTAGAAATGAGAAAAAGAAGACACAGACTATGCCAAGGCCTCCCAGCTAGCTGGGTAGAGGCTGACTGAGCAGCAGGCCCTGTGATCCCAGTCAGCAGACAAGTCCCCTGCTCACCAAAAGGGAACAAATGAATAAAAACTCAGTGGTTTTGTATTAGGCAGTATTAAATCATGTGATAGCAAAGATATCCTATACTTTTCAATAGTCTGTGTAAGTATTAAAACAGTGACAAAATAATAGGGATGCTTGGACAGGAAGAAAATAATAAGTATGGTGCTTAATGCTACATTCCAGTCAAATTTATAATAAACTTAACTTGCAAAGGTAGTGACTTTATGAATTATATATTTGCTGTACATAAAGATATGCATCGTATATTATCAAATATCACAATCGATATGGTATATATGCACAATGGAATATTATTCAGCAATCAAAAAAGATAAACTCATGCCATTCACAGCAACGTGAATGGAGCTAGAAGGAATTATGCTCAGTGAAATAAGCCAGAAGGAAAAAGAAAAATATCGGATGGTTTCACTTATAACAGGAATATGGGGGAACCAAATAAGACATCAGTGTAAAAAGAAAAGAACAGTACAAAACACATTAAAGCAAAAACAGGCAATTATAAACCAGAGACATACTGCAGGGGAGGAGGCAGGAGAGGGATAAGAGGGAAGGAGGGAGGAGCACAGAGGACTGTGGTGATGGTGCATGGGTGCCTTGGGGAAGGAAATTCTATGGGGACTCGATCTGAGGGGGTGGGGGGAAGCAAATATTGTCTAAAAAATGTAAAAAATGATAAATGTTAAAATAAAAAAAATTTTGTGATCACATACACTTATTTATAATCAAACAATTTAGTGATTATATATAAGTTTGATGAAATATAATTTACATCGGTACTGGGGATATATATATCCTGTTAGGCAGATAAATTAGGCAAAAATAGAAAGCAGGTGATCTGAATTATTTAATTGGTATCCTACAATCCAATGTGTATTTTTTCTCCTGTTTGTTAGTCTTGCAGTATCTGTTTTATGAATCAGTAACATCCGTTTACCCTGATATCCTGTACCATTTTATTTTGATCGTTAACACGCTTTTGCCTTCTGTTAGAGTTCAGGTCACCCCAGTGTACTACCTTTCCCCCGGCAAGCCTCCACATGCACACCATGTAATTCCAGCTACAGTGGTGACTTTCCTCTCACTATTTCTTCTACTCAGAACCTCACCCCACATTTACTTGCCTGGCTTTATAGCACCTATCCTGTGAGACTGGATGGAGCCTGATCGCTAAAGACAATGACCTAAACTCTCAGAATAATATTCTTCCTCTGGGTTTTAACCAGGATACCCACCTGCCTTAGTCCTCACCCTGTTTCATTCACATTTCCTGCTTACATCTTCTGTCCAATTCCCCAAATGCAGTTGGTCAAGGATTTTCACTAGTCCTTAAAGTGACAAAGCGTTGATAACTAAAGTTGGAGCACTAGAATCCAGGCTGTCACTACTGGTGGTGACTCACTTCTAACCAGCAGCTCTTGCAGAAGACTGTTTAGCTCAGCTGTTTGAACTCCATTCAGCAACATCATCTTTATCATTTCTCCATTTATGTAAAATCCCCCCTCTTTTTATTTTTTCCTTACATTTTCATGTAAATTATGCCTTTCTCACATTTGGTGGATACTTTCATCTCATAATGTATGACAAGAGTGGTTTTTTTTTTTCTTTAAAATGTATAGGAGAGTTCCTTTATAATAGCTAAGACTTGGAAACAACCTAAGTGCCCTAAAATAGATGACTGGATCAAGAAAGTATGGCTTATATACACAATGGAATATTATTCAGCAATCAAAAAAGATAAACGTATGCCATTTGCAGCAAGGTGGATGGAGCTAGAAGGGATTATGCTCAGTGAAATAAGTCAGAAGGAAAAAAGAAAAATATCGGATGGTTTCACTTATAGCAGGAATACAGGGGAACCAAATAAGGCATTAGGGGAAAAATAATAACAATAAAAACATAATAAAGCAAAACAAAAATAAGTGAACAGCTGTAAATCAGAGACACCCTGCAGGGGAGGGGGAGGGAGAGGGATCAAAATAAGGGAGGGAAGAGCACAAGGGACTATGGTGATGGTGCACGGGTGAACGGTGGTGGAAATTCTATGGGGACTACACCTGAGAAAAGAAAGCAAACATTGCAAAAAATGAAAAATGATGTAAAATATAAATAAATAAATGAAAAATGTATGAGCATTTCAGATATCTTTAACATTGATTTGGTTAATAAAATCTATTTTACATATTATGAAATTAAGAGTCAAATATTTGAATATCCAGCCTCAATATTTCCCTTAAAACACTTCATGCAGTGTTTATGATGCAATAATGACAACAGCATAGATTCAGAGTGTGCCTTATTTGATGGTTAATACAGTATTTTTAAAAAAGAATAAATGAAAGGGAAATTATATTTGATAGACTTCTTCAACATTTAGTAATTCTTTTCCCTTCTTCCTCTGTCCCAAATAAACTTTCACAAATACATTCCACAATGGAGAATATATTTTTCAAATAATTTTTTGACACACTTTTTTCTCTTCTACCACCAGGGATCTCACAATTGACAGGTCTGCCAAGGCTGCTAAGCTGTAGGTTCCTTGCCCCTGTCTTCAGTGCCCAATGGCGAGTTACCACCATGGCCTACACTGTATCTGCTGGGACTGGTGGCCTCTGCCACACCTTCTAGATCTGGCTCCTATCCCAGGGCACTGCATTGCTCTCATTGAGCATTCTGCATCCATGGGTGCTGATGTGTAGATGTTTTAGAGGTGACAAAGCTTCTGCTGTGGAGAGATGGGGAACACTGCCTTCTCCATCCAGTGTGACTTTGCCCTAAATGTCTCCCAGAATTTTGAATCCCAGTCTCCTCTGCCCCTAAGATTTACACACGATTTCATGGAGGGACTGGTTAAGAGCTGCCACCCTTAAATGAACTGTTTCTTACTGGGACACACTTGCTCTGCCTCCTCCTACCCTGAGGATAAATTCTTCCAAAGAAAGTGTCCCCATTCCTCGTGCACATAGGCTCTTGCATATGTAGACTTAGACACAATGTTTGAAGCATTTAAATCAGGAGTCTAGCTTAGGTTCAGTCTAGGACAAGGGATGCTATACACATTTTCACTCAAAATTTTGTCCAGGTGCAAAATGAATTGAACATTGTTAGACAGTGTGAACATAGTCTTCAATTTACCACCTCACAAGCAGGGTTTCAGGATATATATTTGGCTTGTAGGATTCCTTCCAAAAGGACAGTTTTCTATATAATATGATTATTTTAATATAAAAAATAAGAATATTTTTAAAACATTTGTTCATGTGGCTCTGGAGGGAAAGCAGGAGAAGCTGGCATGGAAAATCTGAACATTTACAGGATTTGATCCAGATGATCTCAACTATTAAGGGAATTTCTTAATGACCA